ATCATTAATCTGTTTTTTTTTTTTTTTTTTTTGGTGAAGAAAAAAATGAGTGGACAGTTTTGGCTGTCTCTTCAGCATTTGCCTGAGCTGTCAGTGTCATGGCTTCCTTGTGAAAGCTGACGGGATCAGGAAATATTCAAAATAAGGCTACCTGGTCAAGGCTGTGAACCAACTCCCCGCCGCTGCCATCGTTAAAGCGTGTGCATGGTCACACCTGAGTGGGTTTTTTTTTCTTTTCTTTTTTTTACTTGAGATTCATTTTATGAGATTACTCGATTCCAAATATGGATACTTATGAAATTAATTGGTTCTGTAAGAAATTTCCTAACCAGAACATTTTTTAAGTAGAGACACGTTTTCTATGTAAATGCCCTAATCCGTTCCAAGGCCCCCCAAAAAGGCCCCCAAAATTTAACTTTTAATCTCATTTTTTTGCCCTCTTCAGTTCATGTTCTCTCTCAGGAGTGTTTTTTTTGCCTGGGGTTTTATAAAGAACTGATCCAAAGACATTTGCTTTTGTTGGCTTTTACCAATCCTTTGAAAATGCATAGTGAGCGATTGCCCAACTGGTGAGCACTTTTTCTGGGTGATTCACATTTACATAAAACTATCGGAACGCCTGATGGCCCGAGGGGCGAATGACGGGGATGCTGCATCGACATATCTATCCATCTCCACATGTAGACACAAATGGTAGAAGTCCCTCTTAGCCAAGGAAGATGCTCAGTAATAGCCAATGACATATAAGTATGTTGCTTTCAGGAAACTCTGATCTGCTGCGACTAGCGGCCCATACTGTATTTTTACCTTTCGTATCTTGATATTTCTTTCAAAACAACAGGCAATATTTTCCTGTTGAGGCGTTTCGTAACTTTACAATTTCGTATGAAGAGACGTTCGTAAGTGGAGGTACCACTGGACTTTAAAATTTGGAATTATCGCTAGCAAAGAAACAAATATATGGGCCTCTCAAATACAGTCGTCGGCCAATTTTTAAAAATGTGTGTATTTTAGGTAAATGATCCTGCTTGTGTCTTAACATAAATTTATTTCTTTGACCCTCAAGTACTTCCATGCCAAAGGGAACCTTTGCATCATTAATCAAGTCAAAAGTCGCTAAATTGCTGAACTACTGATCATATTCATTTCTCACAATAATCACCAACAATGATTTAACAAGGTAAGAAACAGATGCATATCAATATGCAACACTACTTCTATTAACCTCTGCAAGCCTTTATATTCTCAAATCTTTACCATTCCACGGAATGCACCATGTCCCATGAGAGCTATTTTTAGAACAAGCCTGCTGAGTACTCGTGGTCCTTCGGGACTACCTGGTGCCCACAAGTACCATGCTGAGCTGAGAAGAGCGGTGTGGGAAATAGAATTTGTCATGTACATGGCATCTAAGTGCTCTTCACATATTTTGAAAAATTCTCCAAAATGGCGGCCACTTGTCACATTTCTACTAAATGCACAAAAAAAAAAAGGTTATAGTGATTTTTTTTTAACATGGTGTAACATAACATCCATTACCATCCACTCTCTACAAAAATTCTCCTCTGTGTTTGTAGGTGGATGTGTCTTCCTGAGTTGCTCCAGCTCTCAGATATTTGTCATTGGTCGGCTTCATCTGTCTTGGCCCAGCCCCCATGACTGGGGTTTGTGATTGGCTTGCCTTGGTGCTGCATTTAACGGCAAACATAAAAATGAAGCTGGACATGCGGTTGCGAGTGGGGAAAATACTTATTGTTGATTTTGAGATATTTTGAACGTTCATGTGTTACTAGGTTATAGCGATACAACTATATTCTGTTCATCCCTAATACTGACTCAGGTGGTCTAGGCGTAAATCATTATCCATTTATAATCCAGTGTAGGACTTCAAACTATGCCAACAGATAGAGCAGTCACCATTCCCAGCTATTCTGGTCCATTTTATTCGGCACACAGTTTAGCACCATATCTCATTTCCCCATTTATTTTTTTTCATGTTTCCTTGTTTCTGTGTGTATTGCCCTTTTAATTGGGCATGGAGAAATAGGCTGCAACAACCTCATTGTTTGAATGTGTTGTTCAGGGCTGTAGTAAAATAAAAATTTGCATTGTTTAAGATTTTCCCCCATCTGAACCATTGCTCAACATATATATTTAAAAAACAAACCCTAAAACAAATCAACCCTTTAAAACATATTTAGCTTTGTGTTATTTATGATATTGATCTTAACTGTCTAAATGTGATATTGGCCCAGGTTTCAGATCCAGCTGCTACAGGAGACACATTTCAATTTTCTGAATATTTTTGTCATTATTACAGAAATACACTAAAAATGAGATGGCACACAGGTGAAGTGCACCAATACTTGGTTTGCTAGTATTCTTGTTGTGTTTTTATACCTCCTCTTGCTTCCTGAATTCCACCTCCATCTGCTTGTTCCTTGGCTGGTTTTTGCCAATGCTATGGCCAGTAATAAAGTTGTTGCTGATGTAAGCCAACTCTGGGTCCTGCTTTCCTGCTTCTTTGATAAGACTGAAAAGGAAAGGCAAAATATCACAGAAATTATAAATGGCATTTTGTCTGTGCTATAACACTGTACTAACAATCAGTGAGTGGAACATGTGTACAGAAAAAAATAATCAGATCAGGATTTATGATCCTTTTTGATCGATTGCACTGAAAACACTGCCTCTTACACCAAACAAGGGGTGACTTGGGTAAACCTACCGATTTAGGACTACTGCAGTGTAACGCCTCTCCACAAAGATAATTCCACATAGAATGTTGGTGAATGGCGAAGGAAAGTTGGCTTCACCCCTGTCTTTGGTCTCCACCTCTTCATCCTCATCTTCCTCTTCAGAATCACTCCAAGAAACGTAGTTGTCCTGATTGCGGTTGTTGTACCACTCTACACTCTCAAACTGTTGCCGCTCAAAGGGCTTGTATTCATGCAGGATTTCCAACAGACGGAGAACCTTTGGTGTGACAAACTTGAGGTCCAAGGAGGCAGGAGAGAAATGTTCTTCACAGAGGGCATGTACTTTTCTGAGAATGGTGTCGGTGAAGAGCAGAAACTTGCGGTTAAGCTCCCCCTGTTCATGCTTGATATACTTCTGGAGCTCACGCACCATGATGCCTGCTGCTTTGTCTGCACACCAGGGCCCCAGCACCTGCAGCACAGCCTTGCAGTCACTTAAGACCTGAACAAGACAAAGACGGTGTTAAAAAGAAGATATATTTTGAGGTTGTCATCAACAAACAAACAAATAAATAAATAATTCAATGGTCAAGACTCTTTTGGCTCCTCTTGATGTGGAGAAGTGGCTTGACTGTGAGCCCCTTCCAGATAAACAAGCTTCTCATCTTATCTGTAAGGGAGATCGCTCGACACACTGCGGAGGAAACCCATTTCATCCGCTTGTATCTAGGATCTTGTTCTTTTGGTCAATACCTAGAGCTCGTGACCATAGGTGAGGGTAGGAATGTAGATCGACTGGTAAATTGAGAGCTTTGCCCTTTGGCTCAGCTCTTTTCACCACGACAGACCGATACAAAGTTTACATCACAGCAGATGCCGCATCGATCTTCCGCTTCATCCTGCCCTTAAACTCCTCCACAGCTCTGATTGCATGACCAGAAGAGGGGACTCCACCCTTTTCAAACTGAGGAACATTATTTCAGATTTGGAGGTGCTGATTTTCATCCCAACCGCTTCACACTTGCCAGCGCACACCTCCAGTGAAAGTTGAATATCCTGGCTTTAAGAAGCCAACAGTACCACATCATCATCAAAAAGCAGAGATGCAATACTGAGGCCACCAAACCAGACCCCTTCAACGCCTCGACTATGCCTACAAATTCTGTCCATAAAGGTTATGAACAAAATCAGTGGCAAAGGGCAGCCAACCGTCACTGGAAATGAATCTGACTTACTGCCAGCAATGCGAACTAAACTCTAACACTAAACTCTAACTCGGCCTTCCTGTGTCGAGTTTGCATGTTCTTCCCATCCTGGATGGGTTTTCTCTGGGTACTGCAGTTTCCTCCCAAATTCCAAAAACATGCACGGTTAGTTAATTTATCACTCTAAATCAGGTGTGTCCAATCAATTCCAGTCGACTGGTAGTCCTCCGACTGGTCCCAAGTTGACCGTGAGGGGTGTATTAGGAAATGGAAGGGGGAAAAAAAGGATTTGGGTGTCTGTATGTGTGTTATCAATATGTATTTTTGTGTTGGTGTACACTGCACCTGAAGAATCCGATTAGTTTAACTTTCACAAATAAGGGGAGTAAAAAATAAATAAATAAATAAATAAATAAGACCTTTAATCTACTCTGTGGCATGACCTGTATCACGGAAAGTTGTTAGCGGTGAGCAGTCTGCAAATGCAGCTTGCCATCAGAGCTGGTGAGCTATATCAAAATTTTTGGGGGGTTTATTGTCATTCAAAGTTTATTTGATCTGCAATTCACAGATGGCAGTGTCAAACAATGGGAATCTGGAGCGCCAGGAGAAGTATTTTAAAACGGTAAATGTGAGCTACAATTGTGATGTTTCTAGAAAATAACACGGTGCAAACGTGCATCATTGCCTCCGTGTCAGGTCCCCTACTAAGGTAAGCAGGAATTTCGATTTTCCAATCTCAGTGTTGTCTTGTATTTAGTTGATTTTTTTTCTGTTTCGTCCATGTTAGGGTCTGTTATGGATGTTGCTCATCATGGCATAGGTGTGTGCGTGCATGTGTGAGAGTGTGCCTACGTGTGTTTGTATGCACCTGCGGTAACGGGTCAATCGCAGGAGGTTGGCCTCACCCCTGCTCCAAATTGTCCTTCGGCATGATCGTGAATGTGAATGGCTGTTTGTCTATGTGTGCCCTCCGATTGGATATAGTGAGGATATAGTGGTTCAGATAATGGATGGATGGATGGATTTGGTCATTAAAAACAGGATTAATGACACGATCAATTGTGAAAAAAAAAGTGTTGCGGTTATTCCGGTTAACACTAAGAAGTTTTGAGAAACGAGCTTGTCTCGATTGCTTTATCATCTTATTATAGATATTTAGCTGTTTGCAATGGCAATGATGAAAGTAACAACAAAGTTAATGGTGAAGAATAACGTGTGTGTGAAGGCCTCAACCTCCACAGAATAATAATAAAAATAGTAGTGTAGAATAACGTGAAGGACTCAGCCTTTACACAATGATATAAAATTAGCATTAATTTCAGGCAATTTAAGGAAAAATGGATAGGGAAAATAAATAGGGGACCTTTTTTTTTCAAAGTCCATATCCCACTGAGCGGAGGACAATTGCGAGTGGTTTCGAAGGCAGTGAAACTCAGAAAAAACAGTAAAACTGTTGTTGAATGTCTGGTGTACGTTGACCGAATATTTCTCGTACATATGCGGCATTGAACGAACCCTGACGTGAACACATTTTTCTACCTTTGCCAACGGTCGCAATTGTTTGCCTCTCAGGGGCCCTTTGTGAATTTTCTTGTTGTTCATTCAAAGACAGTCACGTACTTTGTTCATCATTACATCGGTGCCATCCAGTGTCCAGACTGAGTCACCACAGCTATATTTAACAGTATTTAAAGAACTAGCTAACAAATTTGTTTTGCCAGAACTCTAATTAAATGGCAGGTATTCAAAAATGTTACTTCAAGCCCTATTATATTAAATATAATTGTTGCACTTCACTGTATTTCTTGAATAGAAGTTGGACAACCACATATTTTTATTGGGACTCTTTCCTGCCATTGGATATTTGTGTTTGCTTGTATTTATTGATTGATTTATTTTTAGTTCATTTTATTGTGTGTTCTGTACAAAATACATATGAAAAAAAATACTTTTAGCTGTACTTTTTATACATTACAATATATTTACGGTTGACCTATTTGCAGGGACTAGAGACTAGGATGCCCCGCAAATAGCAAAAATCTGAGTAATATTGACACCAACTGTTTTACAGGTCCACCCATTTGGGAACAGATTTGCCTCCATATGTTCCCTGAGCTAATTGTATTCTGTTTTATTTATGTTTAACACAACATCCCAACTTCACTTGGTTTGTAGGTTTTGCAGGTGTAGGTTTTTGGTACAATGCAATTTGTTTTTGTCACAGTGGACCTGCGTCAGCTCTTCCTCCACACCTCACCGTGAAAAGATTATACTCGATGGCAGGAGACGCTTGAAGTGAATGAATTAAAAGCAACATGATATAATCATTCTGACCTGTCGAGGGACGACTGTAGGACCCCTGTCTTCTCTTGCAACAGAAATCTTACAATCATTCAAGAAGTCAAGAGCTCCATCTAACTCCACTTGTAGACGAGAGGAGAGCCCACTTTTATCCAGATAGGGGCCACAGTCCAGCACAACTTCTCTTGGCTGAGAGGCATATCTGGAATAAATTGAATAGAAAAGACATTTGATGTATTGATCGTGAATATATTAATCCCACACTATTTCATTGATTTCCATAATATATTAATCATGAAAATAATTATATTACAGGACCTGTCAAGAACTACAAGGTCAGTGGCAGTTTCCGCGCTGCTCTTCAGGACTTGCTCCAAATTCTGGATTTTCTGCTCAAGATCTGATGGGTTACACTTTCCATTCAGAATGGAGGCTGTGAGACCCAGAATACGAGGACTGCATAAACTGCCATCAAAAAGCTGCAGAAAGTGACAAAAACAAAAAACAAACCAAAAAAAAAAAAAATGCAGGGTCATCATCAAGAAAAGAAAAGAAAAACTATTCAAGATACAGTGGGCCGTTGTGTGCAGACTATCTTGAGTTTTCGGCTTTATTTTCTGTTTCTGGTGATTGGTCTTTTGCTGAGACTGTTGATGTACAAAGATATGGTCTGTCCCCTGCTCATTCCTGAACACACGGATGTAGTCCGTTGTGGCGCATTCGGGAATCCTGTCCATTCCTGTTTCCAACCAATTGTCGGCTCTCCCACCGGGATTCGGCTGTGCTGCCGTCCATGCTGCCGTCCATGCTTCCTCCAATGCGGCGTGGAAGCCCAGCTGCTGAGGGAGCTTCCTTGACCTTGCCGATTGAAGGAGTTGCACACTCCTACTGCTCCCACCAGGATAGTGTTATTAAACACCCGGTCGTTGACAAACAAAACCTTCATTCTGAGGGAGCTATTTCTTTCCAATGACCTGGATTTTCTCTGCCTGATAAGACTTGGGCTGGCAATGGTGAGTGCAGTGCGATGCGAGAACTATTATCGCCTGCATGTTCTTACTTGGACGCTCTGAGAAGTTCAGGTCGTGGTGGAGGAACAGCAACTATTTTTAAAAACTATTTTTTGATGGAAACAATGTACATTATATTCACCACATTGATCACCAGTTTAGAAGGCACTTTTTTTGAAGTCAGCAGGGCTGTTTCTGTGCTCTGCGCTGCCATTTACTGTCCAACATACAATAAGAATTTTCTGATTGGCTTTTCAAATCTTGCCAAAATCATACTGATATATGAACACATCCTGCTTCTGGGGGATTTTAAGATGCATGTGTGCTGGCAAACAATTCAGGGTGTGTCCTGCCTACTTCCCCTAAGATGGCTGGGATAGGATCCAGCACACCCGCGACCCTCATGAGGATAAGCGGCTTGTATAATGGATGGATGGATTAACGGATAATAATATTTTACAAGCACTTCAAAGAGGTGATCCGGTCTTAAAGTCAGCCACAAGTTTGCGAAAAAATAGAATGGGGAAACTAGTTTAGCAATCTACATCTTCACTCTCAAATGTCAACAAAGAGTCCTCCCAAGCCAGTCAGAATTGAACATAAATAGGAATAAAAAAACAACTAAACTAAAACAAGTAACAGAACCAACACTTCTCAGTGAGTCATGCAAATGGCGACAACATGACAGTTGGGTCGTTACAATGGAATTGTCGTCATCGTGTTTTTTTGGAATGTGGTAAAATTTGGACTCGAAGGCAGAGAAGCAAGCAAATTTCAAAAAGTGAAGAAAACGACCTATGGATGTTGTTAAATGTCATTTGCTAATTTTACCACACCAGTTTATTGACATATTTTTTAATCTTAATTCACTAAGCACGAACAATATTGTCATTGGCTAATACTCCCATGCCATGACTCTGAGACACAGTGCTCAAACCATTTGCTTTATTTTATTCTGATGCATTTCCAGTTAATTGAAACAATGCAGGAAAAGTATGCCATGGCTGTGTGAAACTCTCAATTCAACTGGATTTATACAACAACCACCGCTGTATACAAAGTGCTCTACATGGCGCAAGTATTATATATACACAACAATAACGGTAACTTCCGGGTTGAGTGAACACTGGCGCGTGTTGCTGCCGCTGCTCACCCGCAATAATCTTTTTTTTTTTTTTTTTTTTTAAGGGTTTTTTTTTTTTTTTTTTTACGGTTTACTGTCGTTTCTACGGTTTACTCTCATCATGGGAGAAACCCTTCACTCCTGTCGCAATTCGTTGTGGTTTTGGTCGTCGCACGGTTGTCCTCGGTCGCGCTGTCTCGGCGTCCTGCCTGTTCGGCTGTCGGACAGGGCCCCGTGCCTTCTCCACCCCTCTGCCTCCGTGGTGGGGGTCGACGGGGCCTGTGTCTGGGCTATGCTGCTGTGGACCGTCCTTTCACTCCTCCGTCTGCCCGTGGGGGGACTGCTGTGGTGCTCGGTGGCGGGGCTTCTTGGGCTCCGCTTCCGGTGGTCGGGCTCCCCGCCTGCGCTGCACCGCTTCCCGGGCGTCGCTCCTCGTCCTTCCTGGAGGTGCATCCATCACGGATCTTGTCGGGGCTTCCACCTTGATGGCTCCAGGGGCATCACCTCCTTTTGGTCGTCCTCCCGCCGGCCACGCAGAGACAACGGCAGAAACGGCGGCCGATCCGCGGACTACGGCTTGTTGGCCGGCCTGGCTGGGTCGGCTAGGGCTCATCGCGACGACAATGTTGCCGGCGTCAACTATTTAAAATCGTAATTGAAAATCGCATATTCAGTTTAAATTCATCTCTCCCTTTATTATTTATAATTTTATCTGTAGTTTTAATTGTTCTTGTTTTGGTTGTAAAGTGTCCTTGAGTGTCTTGAAAGGCACTTATAAATGAAATGTATTATTATTATTATTATTATTATTATAAACAATAAACCAATATATTTACAAAGACAGTAGAAAGCACACACACAGTAAAACTAAATCAAGTCTGAGTCAGGCTTAGTCAAAAGTCAAAGAACAGAAATTAGTTTTGAGATGAGTTTTAAAGATGGGCAGTGAGGGGGCTTGCCGAATGTTCAGTGGGATGTCATTCCAAAGAGAGGCACCAGCAACGGAAAAGGCTTAATCCCCTCTGGGCCTCCGCTGAGTTCTTGGTACCTCTAATAACGTCTTGTCCGCAGACCTGAGGCACCAGGCAGGTGTTTAGGGGCAGAGGAACTCAGAGAGGTAAGGTGGAGCGAGGCCATTTAAAGATTTGAAAACAAATGATAGGATCTTAAAAAGAACTCCAAAATGTATAGGGAGCCAATGAAGGGATGCCAGTGTAGGAGTTATGTGCTCCCTCTACCAGTCAAGAGGCGTGCAGCAGCATTCTGAACCAACTGGAGACACTTAATGGAGGATTGGTTGGCTCCAAAGCAAACTGCATAACAGTAATCCAGCCGGGATATGACAAAGGCATGAATTACTGTTTCAAATTGCTCATGAGAAAGGATCCTTATGACAAGGATGTCCATATAACAACTGGTCTGCCAGCAGACCTCTTGGACTTTGGAGCCTCGACGGTCATCAATCACCCGTCCCTACGGTCGTTGCCCCCACCTCGAGGGTGGCGGTTTCGGGCGGCCTCCGGAGAGAGATGACGAACTGTGCCTTTTCCTTTAAAATGTACTTTTTAACTTTGCTGCTAGATACTGTAATCATGTGGATTTAATCAACGTTGGATTACAGTACAAATTGACTCGGTCTCACAACATATTACCGCACTTTCAACATCCTGGACAAGAGCGTGACCAGCGGGACCTGCGTGGATTCTTGTCAGATTTGGCAGTAGAGAAAACGTAAACAAAAGCAGGGCTTCTGAGCTAATGCCTCTCTACTTCCAGCATCAGATCCATAACACAAAATAGCTGAACTGGAACTACTGGATGTAATGGATAAAAGCTCTGAAACTGCACTTTGGCATTACTGTCATAATAGTAGTTAATACTTGTTGGAATATAAACAGCAATGGCTTGTTGAAGTGTAGCTATGGCGAGTGATATTTTTAATACAGTAAATATTCCCATCCCCGGATTCTATGAAAAGTAAAATGTCCTTCACCCGTAATAAAAACCTGTGCATTAACATTTTGACTACGATATTACGCGTTACCGGAACTTCCGTAAGCGGAAATTCCACTAGCCGTAACTCGGATGGAGGCGTAATGCCGCGGGAGCTGAAATACACGCAACGCCCACCCGGTGCAACGGAAAGACAAACGTTTTCACTTCGCGTTTTTCGATCATCAGATCCGAAACGACGATGTGTAAGTGAGTTTTTATTGGCGTGCGTTTTATTGTAATTGTGAATGATTTTAACTTGATTCACTTATGTCGTGTAGAACGCAGCACTAGCTTAAAAGCAGCACCCACTCGACACGACAGAAGAAACATGTTCGCTTCGCCATTTTCATTCATCAGATTCGAAATGATGACGTGTAAGTGACTTTTTATTGGCGTGCGTTTTACTGTAATTGCGAAAGATTTTAACTTTATTCACTTACGTCGTGTAGATCATCTAAACGTAGAAGAACTGTAATGACTGGAGCGGAGCGAGTGAAATGCATCCGTTTGAGCGAGGCCGGACACAAAGTTAAAAACATCCAGCAGACACTTGGAGTCGGAAAGACACAAATCTACGAAACTTTAAAAAAAACAAGGCATCGATTCAACTCCTGATGACAAGCCACCATCCAGCAAGGAAGCAATGCAAATGGCAACAAAAAATCCTTCAGTATGCCCAAGAATTACCAGACATCGGTGATCAACGGGACAGTTACTTGCAACTAGCAAGAAAACTGTATGACACGCAGGCAAACATTGTCATAAACCAAAGAATGCATCCAACAAAACAATCCAAAATAGACACATTTTTTTCCCAAGACAGAAAAAAGTAAACATTAAAATACTGTACATATTTTACTGTTGTGATTTTTTTGGACACACCTGTATTGCAGTTTTTGTTATATAAACAGTTTTTGGACAATATATTTTTGTATTTTATTGATTGTGTTGTTACACGTGCATTTTGTCAACATATTTGCAGGTTCATGAAGGACATGTACCATGCTAATTTCCCAAATGAGGAATTTTTGTTATCACGACAAATTGGACAGCGCAAACTCGAGTCCGCACTAGAGAATATTTACTGTAATTTGTTTTTATTTTGGTCCTTAAATGTCTTCACCTGAAAATGACCTTTAGCCATTAGTTGGGGTCTTGCATTTATTTGAAAAAAGTGTGTGTGTCTGTCTGTCTGTCTGTCTGTCTATGATAATATTACATATCCATTCAATAAAAGACTCCTATGTGCAGTCCTGCTACAATGGTCTTTGATAGAATTTTAAGAGTAGGAAAATTAAAATGAACTTTTCCAGAAGTGAACTTCTATAGCTTAGCAGCTCTGTGAATGTGATGTGGTCAAAAATGTTGGTGCAACTAACTTTCGCGGTTGCGCAACCAAGAAGAAGAAGAAGAAGAAGAAGAAGAAAAAAAAAAAAAGTTGGGCGGACCAGCTGAACCACAAAAAGTTACTCTAGATCAGGGGTGTCCAAAGTCGGTCCTCAGGGGCCGCCGTCCTGCCTGTTTTCCAGCTCTCTCGGGAGCAACACACCTGATTCAAATAATCAGGGTCGTTCTAATGCTGCTTCAGAGCTGGCTGATGAGCCATCATCTGAATCAGGTGTGTTGCAGCCGGGAGAGCTGGAAAACAGGCAAGACAGCGGCCTCTGAGGACTGACTTTGAACACCCCTGCTCTCGAGCCCCCGAGTAGCCTCCATTATTAGAGGGTTGTGTCCTGGTTGAACACAATGTTAAAACATTGTTTTAATGGCCCAGCTTTTCTTATGTGTTAAGGTTTCCCTCTGAAACGATCTTTCTGACATGTATGTGTCAAGACTGGAGTTGTCCCGATAAGGTCCGAGTTAACAAATAATAAACATATATTCAGTATTTCCACCCCAAATCTTTGTGTGTGAAGAAAGACGAGTCTCTGGAGTCATGACCCCATGAAGTATGATGTGGAACAGAATGCAGACAGTCAAACAGGTGCCCTGACTGAGAATTTTCTGCTCTTCTTTCTATTTGAAGGAACACGTGTCCTGAGATTATTGGAATTGTGTGTGGGGTCTCCAACATGTCGTTGGGAACCTACTATGTCACAAGTTGACAAGTCATATTGTTTCCCACAGATCTTATCAATTGGTCAGTCCAAACGTGGGTGCTATTTTTACAAATTATTGACTCATTTAAAACATTGCTCTTTTTGATGATGCAATTGTAATTAAAAAAAAAAACTCATTTTGGGGTCTCCTGAAAAGTGGTGATTCTGGAGGTACGAGGACTCGCCCCACAGCAGCGAAAACAATCATTTACGAATTGAAAAATCTGAATTTGTGTACCAGGCCCAATTTACCCAAGTAATCATAAAGATTACACACAAAATGAACACACAAACCCTTCAAAGTCTGATTATTACATTATTTTCTAACACTTACACACTCACCTTCATTATCTCACAGTAGGGGTGATTGGTGATGGCAAGATGACAATCGTCAAAAACCAACAAGTTGATTTTTGTCAAAGGTAAGATTTGATTCCTCAGTATATGCAGGAATATATGGCAAGTCATTACCAGCACCTACAGCATATGAGATCAGAATGACAGAGGAAAAAAAATATGTCAATGTGAAGAATCAAGTTTCTGTGACAGATCTGGAAAAACGTAAGTGCAACTTATCTGACTCAATCGCCTATTCAGATACATAGACAAGGGCATCACTGGCTTGAGGGCAGTTCTTCAGACTACTTTTTGTGACTTTAGATTATTGCATTCTCAAGTGTATAGAAATATAAAAGTAGAGAATTCGACTGATTTTTCTACTGAGTGATCGGGAACCCGTTATCATCTCGCGCCACAGTGTAAGCCTGTAGAGATACCACACCAACATGCTGTTTACAGAATATCTCAAATATCTCTCAAGTAACATAATTGATTTCCTAGAGGTTATTGCATTTGCAAAATTTGAGACTATACAGTAAATATTCCCATCCCCGGAATTCTATGAAAAGGAATATCCTTCACCCAGAACAAAAGCCTGTGCATTAACGTTTTGACTACGATATTACATGTTACCGGAACTTACGTAAGCGGAAATTCCACTA